ACGCTGGCCATGGCGGGCCTGGAGGTGGTCCTCTCTGGCAGGGGTTCCCCTTTAAGATGTCCTCTTCTAATCTGCCATCTGGTTCCTTTCTCCTAGACCCCTGGAGGTGTGCTCAATGTCAGGGGAACCTGCACATTTTGGGTGGGTTGGCAAGGAATGGTGTCTGAGCTGAGCACCAAAGAGGGAGGCCACCCACCCCTTGCCTGATGTTTTTTTCTTCTTCCAGGGACTCCCAACTCAGCTCCCTTTGGCCTCTGGCTACCCTGCGGTGGGGGAGACATGGGAGAACCTCTCCCCAGGTAAGCCGGCCATCTCTCCAGCCACTCTCTCTCTCCTGCCTCTTATGATCAACCTTGCGATCACAGACTTGGCTCAGATTCTGTCTTTGCTTCTGGGAATCTTCTACTCATTGTCCAAAAGATGGTACTTTGGGAAGGAGATCTGCATGTTGTGTTTCTATCTGTACTCAAGGGGGTGTTTCTGTTGCCCATCTCAAGATCTCCCGAATGGCTTCACAAAGAACCAAAGAGTGCCGGGCGTTCCTGGAGGCTGCCTGACCGGCTTGGGTGGATGGTCTTGATTCCCCCAAAACTCAGAAGACCCTCTCTGATCCCTGACAAGCATGGCGGGAATAAAAAGAGGGCCCCTCTCAGCCCAGACCTGATACTCAGGATAAGGCCCGGCTGTCTCAGGAACGTCCATTCTAGGAGATGCTGGGGATTTACTTTCCAAAAGGGTCTGGGAGAAAAGGCGAAAAAGGAGAACAAAGTGAGGAGGGGAGGAGAGGGAGGTGGGCTTTGGTGTTTGTGTGAAGGGAACTTTAGGTTGGGTGGCCAACGAGAGTCTTTCTACTACTGTTTCCCCCCGAAAATCAGACAGGGTCTTATTTCGATTTTGGCTCCAAAAAACACATTAGGGCTTATTTTCAGGAGATGTTTTATTTTTTTCCCATGTACAACCATCTACATTGATTCAAATACAGTCCTGTCCTCTTCTTCTGGTTGCTGCACAAGGGTGGAAGATGGGGTTTCACTTAACAAGGGCTTATTTTTGGGGTAGGGCTTATATGACGAGCATCCTGAAAAATCCTACTAGGGCTTATTTTCAGGGAAATGGGGTAGGACACAAGGGTTGGAAGGGAGGGAAGGACAGAAAAAAGAGGTATTGCTCTGAGTCCCTTAAACTTGGGGAAGATGAGGAAGACTCAGGGGTGAGGAAGAAAGGGAACACCAACCACAGGACGAGAGAGATGTTTATGGTTCTCCAAATCCTGCAATGGGGCTCAGGGATTACTAGGAATCAAGGCTGCAAAAAAAATTACAGCTTTTACAAGCCGTAGGCATGTAGGGATCAGATCTGCATGTAATTTCTGGTGCTCAGCTCTTCTCAGTTGTGGGAGAGCAGAGGACCGGGGGGTGGTCTCCATGGTCTCCTTGGGGCTTTAGTGGAGCACCTCTAGAAACAGGAGCCGGGGCTATTTGCAGGGGCAATTGGTTTCATCCCGTGGGGCTCTTAAGCCTTCGGTTTCTGACATGTTCTCTCTTCTCATCTCAGCGTCTCTGTGGAGGAAGAACAGGAGCCTCCGGAGGAAAAGAAGCCAGAGGTAGAGGCAGACTTGAGACCTTCAGCCTCCTTGGTAAGGGATGAAAAGATGCATCCTCTCCCTGTGGGACGTCTCCCTTCCCTCTCACTTTACAGCTTGCTGCAGAAGGGCCGCCGTTGTGGTTTGGGTGGAGGGCTCAGAGTCAGGGCACCACTGAACGTTGTAGGTGCAAACAGGCACGAGTTCATGGCTCCTGGACTGGAAGAAGGTTTGCTGAACACCGTAGGTGCAAACAGGCACGAGTTCATGACTTCTGGAATGGAAGAAGGTTTGGGGAGCCAGGTTGGAGCCACAGAGAGGGGCGAGCTTCCTGGGGCTTCTCACTCTCAACGTTGCTTCCGTCCAACCCTGCAGGATTCTTAAGCCTCCTTTGAGTAGGAAACATTGAGATGGAGAGAAACCAGGGAGAAGGTGGTCTGGCCGTTGGAAACAGGGCTCTTGGGGGGGGAGGAAAGCCCATTGCCCTCGTTCACTCACTCCAAATCTAGACCGAAATCTCAGGATGCCTAAAGGAAGAAGTATCCCTTCTTTTAAACAGAGAGGCGACTTTCTGCAGAGAAAATTTAGAACTTGGGTCACCATTTGGAGCAAAGAAACTGGGGGGGGGGTAGTTGGAGGACGAAGGTCAGCAGATCCTGTTCATTGTTCTTTTTAATCTACAGCATTCAATCAAGACTGGGGACCCGGAAGGCCCTGCTGGGGATCATGAGAGGTAGGACCTGAAAGAGAAAAAACACGATGCCCTCAGAAACCTTACTTACACCCAAACTCAATCCAGGTCCCTGCCCGCAAAGGGAATCCAGTCCCAATCCAGACCGCTCCTAAACAGCAGAGAAAAGGGAGGGAGAGGACACAAGGGCTGCAGTCCCTCTGAGCACCTTGAAGACGTGTTCTCTTTTCTTCTCATTTCAGCCTCCCTGAAGAACATCCCTCGGAGAAGCCACTGCTGCTGATGCCTACAGAGGCTTCAACTTCATGGCTAAGGAAGGGACAGGCGTTTTCTCTCCCAGCGGGCCATCCCTTTTCCCTCCCCTTCTACTGCTTGCTTGCTGCAGAAAAGGCCAACCCGGAGGTTCACTTCTCCTTTTTTCATTCCCGGGATTCTCAGGAGCAGCCTGGGTGTCTCCCTGGAAAACCTGCCCACCAGCCCAGAAAGGTATGTGCTTTAAAGCATCTTGCAAGGTATTATCGAGGTGCTGAGAGAGATGGGAAAGCATGTAAAGTAGGGGTGGGGGAACTGCAGTCCGCCCACCGCCCCTCCCCAGGCTTTGGATCAGCAACCCCATGTTCCAGCGTGGCTTCTCGAGTGGGACAGGTCTGTCCCCTGAGAGGGGCAGGTAGAAGGTGCCGTTCGTGGGGCCGCCCCTCTCTCTCTCAGCCTGCCTGACCTCAGACAAAACTATTCAGCTCGCAATTGGAAGCGAAATGGTCAGATTCCAAAGGATCTCCTGTATGGAGAATTAGTGCAGAGGGAGATCACAGCTGCGATACAAGGATATCTGCAAGCGGGATCTGAAGGCGTTAGGAATGGACCTCAAAAAGATGGGAAACCCTGACATCTCAGCCTGGAGGCAGGCATTGCATCATGGCCTCTCCCAGTTTGAAGAGACCCTTGTCCAGCAGGGTGAGGCCAAGAGGCTGTCCCGAAAGCAGCAAAATCAGGGAGCTGGACAGGGGACAGATTGTACTTGTCTTCAGTTTGGAAGGGACGGTCACTCTCGAATTGGCCTTCTCAGCCACACTAGACGCTGTTCCAAGTCCTCCATGCAGAGCACATTACCATAGTCTCTTGAGACTGAAGGATGCCTAATGAATATCTCAAGTAGTTGGAGAGGTCTGCTCACACTGACATGGCCGTGTCTTGCAGATTAGAGGGCAGATCCTGCCTCTTTGCAATGACCCTGGGTATTTGCCACAAAACACACCCTTGTGATGCGCTCAGGGTGTTGATACAGACTGGCAAGCATCTCTTTGGCCACACCATATACTGTAAAGCCTTGACTCAAGACCCCAGGAGGAAAAATCCCAGAGAACTTGATCTAGAAACAGCTCCTTCCCGGCCTCTGATGTGTGGTGTGATCTGAACTGAGCAGGTGGCACACCTGTGCTGCTTTGAGAGCACCACCACTTCCTGGCATGATTCGCCCTGCCTTACCCTTCCGATCGTCAGGAGGAGGACCTGTGTCATGCGCTGACGGTTCGAGGTTTGCAAAGGGCTTCCAGCATGAAGCTGTCTTGACAGCTTTGCCTCCCCGGGGGCGTCTACCCTTCTCGCCCGGTTACGCTTTGAAAAGCACCGGGGCGGTTGCACTTTTGTTTTCTATTATTAAACGGAAGAGGAGATGCTAACGGGTGCTCTTGGCAGGCTGGGTTATACTGAACACGGATGAAATCCAGTCCGAACCAAAAGAAGGACCCCTAACGGTAAGACCTTGGCTCTCCCATTCCATGTAACTGGTTATCTTCTAATGAGCAGAATTGCAGATTCCCCTTGCAAGGATAGGATGAGAGGAAAGGGGATTCATCCTCAGAGGGTATGTTTATCGATATGTTTGCTTCTTTGTTTTGTCAGGGCTTGTAAACAGAACAAACATACGGAGGAACTTGATTCAAGCAATAACAGCAGCTGAAGAGAGAGAGAGAAGATTACCCTGGATGAATTTATCGTAATATGCCGTAATTATGGTCATGAAGAGGCTCTCAACCATAGGCAGGTAGGTCGGCAAAAAAAATATCTCAGCAGTTTTTAGCAAAAGACATCAAGGTATGCAGCATTCCTTTCGTAAATAGGTAAATTTAGAGAGTCCTACAGCATGAGGAATTTGAAGAATGCTGCAGATAAATCAGTTTTGACAGATCAAAAGCAGTTCATTTTGGTTGGAAGACAAGGGCCGAGCGGATACCATCAGACACTAGCTGTTCTCTTGGTTTTCAATCCCTTCAAAAGGACAATTCCTAAGGTCAGCTCATGATCCATCGAGGCATATTTAGGGCAGACCCATGGAAATGAACGGGACTCCAGTCTGTCCATTGCCCTGTTGATTTCTTACAATTCCTTATTGTCTTGGTGTGACCTTGCACATTTTAAGTGCATTGTACGCCAACCCAGATGAATGTGGTCATTTAAAGATAAAATCAATCTGTCCACAAGCCAACCAACCCAGCACCCATCCGTTTTCTGCATTTTTCAATGCAGAGGCTGTCGCTAAGAAGCAGACAACCTTTAAAGCAGCCGTCAGATACCGACATCCGTGTTGTCCGGCCACATCTTGTGTCGGCCCCATCTCATTTATTAACTGGATTCCGATTTCTTGCAAAGAGTCCCAAGCTGGAGACACAGTTTTCCATCTCTCTCCTCTTTTTATAATCACAAGTCCATGAAGGAGGTTCGACTGAGCAGGAGGAACCGACCCCAAGCCACCCAGTAAGCGTTACAGCTGGGTGGAAAGGTGTTAAAACTGGCCAACTTTGAGCCATTTGGTCCACAAGAAACCACTATGTTGTAACTGGTCAGCTCTGACTTCCGTGTGCTTAGGTTCATGATGGGTGTGGAGTTCTGGAAATACCGTGTGCGTTTTCTGCAGAGGCACAGAGAAGCCATGTGACACTGGCCATGTGAAGCATGACCTGTAGGATAAATATGTTTAAATATTTGAATATTAAATATTTCAGAGTCTGTCATTCATGAGTAACGCATGAGGAAAGGATTGCCTCACGGCCACGTGCTTGCCACTGGTTACAACAGCCTCTATAACGTGACACAATTGGCCTCTGAAGGAAAATATTCCTAAAAGAGGCCACACGCATCCTGACACTATTGAAGGAACTAAAATATCCCCTATTGCATTGCAGTTATGGCCTCACTACTTGTGTTGCAGAGTTTTGAATTTCTGGCAAAATTCTTTTTTGCTCTGCAGTCGAAATACAGAGATCCACCGGGGATAAGAGCTAGAAGTTCCCCTAATAGTCCACCCCCTTCTCAATAACTGGCATTTAAAGTCTCACTAATTCACTCTGAGACATTTATCGGAGAAATAATAACAATGTTCAATTACTTACAATGGTCCATGGGGTCACGAAGAGTCGGACACGACTTCACGACTAAACAACAACAACAAAATGACTTACAGTTGCGAACAGATCAACAGCAAACAAACAACGACTGACTGTAAGAGACAAAACAGAGGGAAAGAGCGCAAAGCATAGAGCAGAGAGTCAGGGCTGTCTTTGAATTCAGAGGTGGGACAGGATGATTAATTAGTGCTGAATAGATTAACAATCAACCCAGCCTGAAAAGTCCCTCCCACTCAAACCAACTTCAGGTAGCATACAAAGTTGCAGAGAAAAGTCCAACAACATGGCTGTGTTTTGTTGGGAGAATTATAGCCAGTGGCAAGCATGTCAACATTTAACTACTGCTGCTGCTAAAATGGAATAAAGGGGGTCGAAAAGTGAGAATAAGCTATGTTTCAGAGGAAAGGCATGGAATATGGTCACCTAATATATTTGTAGTACTTGACTAATTAGCCAAATCCATGTGATTTTTTTTAAAAAAATCCCCTCACATGCTTTTTATTGTGTATCGCTGGTTTTTTCCCTCCGTGCATCGACTGAAAACACACACATTTATTTTTAACTGCTTGCACAAAATTTCCAGAGTGGCACATCTGATAGACTCCTTCCTTACTCAGATGAGAAAGTGGCAGAGGAGCGGTTCACACATGTGAGCAACCGTCTTTCATCTTTGCACACTTGCCGCCAGGGGCTGCTCGTTGTTCTTCATGACTCACGTTAAGAGCCAGGTTGCTCCTGTAACAGCTAGGGGTTAATCTACATTCTGTGTTAATTGAGCATCCAGCTCAATTTGTATCCTGAATTAAAACCTGGGTCTTCCGGCTCTAGTGCGAAACTATACCAACGATAGGCAACTGTGATCCTTAAGATTTTTGGATCACTACATCCACAACCCTTCATCCTTCATTATGCAAACCGAGCTTGGAAAATTTATTCTTTTTCTGGATAACTGTCCCAATGACTCTCCAAAGCAGCACGGCAGAGGACCTTGTAGGACAGGAGATTCTGGGAACTCTTGACCAAAACCTTAAATTTTTCAAACTGGGATCCAGATCTTCCAGATCTTCTTAAAATGCATGAAGAAGTAACTGGCATTTATGTTTGAATTCCACTGTAGATCATGATCGCTTGCTACAGAAGATCAACAATGAGCAACTCTGGACAGCACTCAAAATGGAGCCACATAAGGTCCTTCGGAGAAAAGGGTGAAGACGAAGCTTCTTCCAACCAGCTAATGGAAAATCACCTTCTGGGGGAAAAATGCCAAACTTTAAAGGAGGACAAACCAAGCAAATAAAGATCCCAAACACTATCTTCTGAGGAGCAAATCCTGCTTGGCTTTCCTTAATTTAATCCAAAGTAAAGCACAATGTTGTGGTGATCAGCAGAATCTAGAAAATCAGAATGTCTCCGTGTTGCACAGAAAGCAGAGGATTTCACATTTCCAGTTTCTCAGATCATCTTACACACTTATCTTTTCCTCTCGGTGGGAATTCAAGGCTGCTAAATCTTTCCTTATTTATCTGACATCTGCCTGAGCGTCAACGTCGCCTCCTTTCCTCAAAACATCATGGCAACCGACATCTCTGGCTGCAACGAGGAGCATGACTTTTCCAAACGCTTTTACGCCATCATGTACACCATCATCTTACTGCCAAGACTGGTAGGGAACAGTTTAGCTCTCTGGGTACTTTATGAGTACATAAAAGAGACCAAACGGGCTGTGATTTTTATGATCAACCTTGCGATTGCAGACTTAGCTCAGATATTGTCTTTGCCTCTGAGAATCTTCTACTATTTGTCCGAAAGCTGGCACTTGGGGAAGGAGATCTGCATGTTGTGTTTCTATCTGAAATACGTCAATATGTACGCGAGCATCTTCTTCCTGGTTTGCATCAGCGTGAGGCGGTTTTTGTTCCTCATGTACCCCTTCAGGTTCAGCGACGCCAAACGCATCTACGACGTGTACATCTGCATCGCCGGGTGGATCGTCGTCTGCATCGGTTGTTTGCCGTTCCCACTGTTACGACTCACCTCTAATGAGACTGAGGCCAGCAACAAATGTTTTGTGGACCTTCCTGTGAAGGTGGTAGACGGCGCTACCTCCATTGCCATGGTGACCCTGAGCGAGCTGGTCGGTTTTGTCACACCTCTGCTGATCATCCTGTTTTGCACCTGGAAGACGGCTTTGTCCCTCAGAGAAAACAGTTCTGTTTCCCAAGACCTGGGAGAGAAACAGAAAGCTCTGAAGATGATCTTGACTTGTGCGGTGGTCTTCCTGGTTTGCTTCGCCCCTTATCACATCAGCTTCCCTTTGGATTACTTTGTGAAAGCCCACAAAATCCAGGACTGCTACGCCCGAAAGGTGATTTCAATATTTCACACAGTGGCTTTGTCTCTGGCCAGCTTAAATTCCTGTGTGGATCCGGTCATTTATTACTTTATTACGGATGAATTCCGAAGGCGGCTTTCAAGGCAAGATCTACAAGATAGCATCCAGCTCCATAACAAATACTTTGGACATCCAAATGGCCTTGATCAAAATATTGGTGTTGGTTATGTGATGGAGAATCCAGGTGACATCCCGATCAATGGAACTGCCTGACTCCATGAGCTTTAAAGGCTACGGGTGTAGCTGATGACTTTGTTCTGCTGCAAATTACTTAAATTTAAGGGTTTGACCAGTGAATAGTCACTTTGTGTTTTTGTTGTTGTTGTTGTTTTAAAAAAAATGTATTTATGTTTTTGTTTTATATTTGCTTCGACTGTACTGATCTCAAGTAATATCCCCAATAGTGTTAACAGTTCTGGAATAGGAACAGTGGGCAAAATGAGCACCCAGCCAGTGCAAAAATTCACTTTTAAAATCTTCATTGAGTTTATCCATTTCTTAGAGAGCAGCTGCCACAATCAAGGTGGCTAACGCATGGGCTGTCAAGGTTTTGAAGGACACAATAGATAATCCAAGGATGAAATACCCGGGGAGATTTAACCTTCTTTATAAAGATGTATACGAGGGGGTATACATTTCCTCTCCCACAGAACTTGTCAATACTTGTCAGCACTCCCGCGTACTTGAATACATTTGAGAACCTCAAACAGAGAGGAAATTCTCAGTTGTCATATACTAAGACTCCTATAAAAGACTTGTTATATGTTCAAAAGAACTGGGTTAAGACCATAGCATTAAGGTCACAGTGCAGTTTATTGTTAGAGTTTGTTATGGTTATGTTAAAATTTTCTTATTACTAAAAATTTTCTTGTTACTGGAATTTTAGAATGTTCTTGTTACTGAAATTTTAGAATGTTCTTGTTACTGAAATGTTAAAATTTTTCTTGTTACTGAAATTTAAAATTTTTCTTGTGACTGAAATTTAAGCAAAAAAGTTACCAGTCGAATTGATTTTTTTTAAAAAAGCAGAATGCTGCAAACGGCTGATTTGTGGTAAAAGCTCACATCCCTGTGGCTATCGAGGTAATGACAGCCAGTTGCTATTACACCAGACAAGGAGAGAGGTTATTGATTTGTTCTGTTCATCTGCTGTAGTAAATGAAAATGAATGGATTACAAATCAAGTGTAGTATCTGTTCTTATCAGTTTAACAAATAACTCTGGGCAGTGGGGTCGCTTCCACGATCTGTGGCACCATTAGTATGGCCAATTACTCTGTCATTCTGATTCCTGAGACAGTAGCTTCACCCTACCTAACGGACAGAAGAACAAATCAGCAAATGTTCAGCAATTTGTTTACAAAAACGACAAGAGCTGTCTCGGCTATCCTGAGCTGAAATCGACTTTCTTGTAGATTCTGACAGCCCATAACAGAACTTGAGCATTGTAGGGGTTTGGCGCTGGATGAGCCCTTTAACAATCAGTCCACAGCTATCATCAATGTGTTGACAGACAAGAAGACACACTAGCACAATAATTTTAAGTGGCTTATAAGAGGAAATAAAGTTTCTCTTCAATGGTCTCTCCTCTCATAGGGATGAAGTTACATATCTTACTTTTCCTGGATTTTTATCTTTTCCCCTTTAGTCTATGCCCTGAGAAGTATGCACTGCTAATTTAATATATGTGAGATTAATAATTTATTAAGAAATATTTCCCTCCCCCCCCCCCCCCCAGTTGTGAAGTTTCTCTGGTTGGTCTGAGGTGTGTGTATATATATATGTATATATATGAGGTATGTGTGTATATGGGGAGCTCAGAAAGAACATTTGGGCAGTGGCCCTTGTCCTCCCAAGACCTTCCAACCTGAGGAACTCCAAGATGTTTTTATTCACAAGCTGGTGCCAAGGTTCTTAGGGTGTCCCGTGTGGTATTTAGGATGGGTGGATGGAGTCACAGATCAACCGTGCCATCGGATGCACGGCTGGGCAGAATTAAGCTTTCCCGATCACTATGTACGGTGTGATGGCTGGACAGCAGAGAAAGCTGACGGGGG